GTCCTAACTGGAGCTCAGTCTTTCTCAGAGCCATCACATGGTATCCTAACACATGAATGAATGCTGAATAGAAAGAGCCCTCCTTGCATATATGCAGGTAGTGTGGTGGAGGGGAAATATAGAAGTCATTTCTGAGCTCTGACCTGCTAGATCATCGCCCTCTGAACCCCCAAAGCCTTGGCATACAGCTTCACACTGTACCACCTATTTTGGTGGTCCAAGTTAGGTGAGGGAGAGAACCAGACACAGTGCCCACCATCACCTAGCACTGGCCCTGCTACCAAACAGTCATTCCTTTTAGACCTTCACTCCCCACCAAAAGCATTTCAGGCAAAGCGCCAGCTCCTGAAACTTGGCCTCTTTGAAGTGGTGAGTGAGTGCCCCTGAAACCACCACCTTATGTATGGTGTTGCCTCTCCTGCTGCCAGAGTTTAATACAGGGTCATGTTCCTTTCCTCTGAAATCTGTCACGGAAATTCAGTTTTAAACTGGACTTTTTTTAACAGTTGGACTCTGAACAATCTTTAGGGTGAGGAGGGGATACTAGTGGTTTGTGGGGTAGATATGTGCCCTTGAAAACTGGATTCTTTTTTGGAAAACTGCTGACACAGTCTAAATGACAGAGAACTAAATGACTCTACTGTTTCTACCTGCTGACAGACTCAGCCTTGGGATGGGGCTGAAATTAGCTCTCACCACATGGCAGAGACATGCCTTCCTCTTATTTTTTCTTCTTTCATACAAATAGGGAGTAATTTGGTGCCTGTCAAAAAATACAGCTTCCAAATGTAGATAATCAATAAACAACAGTCCCACCCCTAACTTGGAAAGTGCGTGAGTGCTGATCTGAATAATTAGAGAATCAGTAACAAGTAACCTACCTGTTGAGAACACGTCTGAAACCTCTTTCATAATTTGTGTTCTTTGGGAAACGCTAATAGACAAACTCATCCAAGCTCTGGAAATGTACTGATTTAATGAGGTCCAAGGAGGAGTGACCAACCCAGTGGCCAGGCATCCCAGATGCCTAGGATTCTCATGTTTCCGTACATTTCTGCTGTTACATCCCTTCTGTGAGCAAGAAGGCTTTGGAACATTACAGTCTTGTCTTGGGGAGATGAGATGACACTGTGCATTTCAGTCCTGTTTCCAATGCTGTTATCTGTTGGAAAAGGAAGCTTTCCTACCCAATTTGTAAACATACAACTGGTAGGAGCTGTTGCAATCTCATTGTCTTCCGATCAGCCCCTCCTTGGCAGCAATCAGAGTGGAGGCCCCGTGAAACACACTGTGGTAAGTTTCAAAATAAGAGAGCTCAGCCTGAGTGCACCATGACACTTCCCATCCCATAGAACCAGCATTGTTAACTGTGCCACATCTCTATTCTAAATTTAGGCATCTTTTTTTTTTTTTTTCCCCGGGTAAAGATTACTATGCAAACATTTAAAAGAAAAACTTTGCCCAAAGTAATTTTTTCCCCCAACTTCTATTTGGTTTCCTGCAATCTTTAGATGACTCATTTTCTTCCAAGAAATTTTAAAGGAAAGAGATGCAGGCTGTATGTTAGTACACAAAGACTGCTCTGTGAATTCTCTTTTTCTTCCCTGTCTAGAAACCCCTTGCCTTTTTATAGAGAATGGAAAAGCTCTACAGTCTTCATTGTCACGTACTCCACTTCATCAGGTTTTGTTGTTCCCAGGAATAAATGTCCCCCTTGTCTTTGGGTGGGGGCCCCCTTGTGGCTTACTAGCTCTGTCAACCCTGCTGCAGTGGCCAGCACGGAAGCCCTTCTTGGGGCCATGCTTTCCCCCAAAGGCACACAGTTAAGGTTTCTGAGACAGAGAACGAATGGCCTTTTATCTTCTGTGAAAAGAGAGACACTGGCAATTTCCTGCCTCTGGCCTTGTGTCAGAATTTCTCCTGATTGCTAGAGGCTGTATTGTACAATTTTAAGTGGGCTCACTATACATGTATTCCCAGCCCAACCCTCAGCCAGAGGGAGCGGTAAGTCAGATCACTTCAGCAGCCTTTTCAAATAAACAGGGATAATAGTTGAGTGGTCCTCCCAGCTAATCAGTACATGAAAGGAAACATCTGCGTGGGCTTAATTGCCATTTTTTTTTTTTTTGGTTACACTTTTCCCTCCTCTTTTTTCCCCATCCCCACTCTGGGGCTAAGTTATTTGAGTCATGAGTAAGCAACAGCGTAGAGGATAGGATAGGAGCGGTCTCCTTTAACCTCTGCTATTCAAACGTAAGGAGGAGTTAAGAAAGGATAGGAAGGGGGCAGGAGGAGCTGGCCCAGAGGCAGGAGGGCAGGGCGGTAGGAAGTGATACTCATGGTCACTTCCTGACCCTATTGCTGACTCTGGGGCTGGAGGTGAGTCACGTTGCCTCACTTCATCTCCTTGGGCCTCTGTTGCTTCAGTTGAGCTCAGCTTTCCTCTCAATGGGAAGGAGAGGCTAGTATGTGAGATCATAGATGAAAGGCATTCCCTCTTATGGCTTCTTCCAGCAGTTGAGGTCATTGAATGAGAGACCCTGGAAATGATAAATTTAAGACTGGCAAGATGCCTCTGAACCAGTCCATTTTGTAGAGTATCTGGGTCCCCAAGGAGAACTTACTCATCTTCTAAGCCAACCAGCTGTGCATTAACAAGAGTGATGCTTGAAGCTAATATGAATTCTAGAAGCCAGGCAGAAGATCATGTAGAATCATAGAATGGCAAAGGCTCGAAAAGACCTTAGAAATGTTTTTTAGCTGAGGCTTTTCATTGTATAGAAGGGAAAATAGAGGGCCAGAGAGGTTAACCAGGTTGTCCAGAGTTGTCTCTTTGGTAATACAGGAGCCAGGAATAGAAAGAGAATCTTGTGATTGCTAATTTAGGGCTCCTTCTACCCTTTTCCCCACTATCGGATATAAAAATTCATGCCTACTCATGACAGGGGTCACACATAAGCTATATTCCATAATGAATACCTTAATAGAAAAATGGGTAGAGAACACTAATAGAAAAATACAGATCATAAAAGAAAAATGAAAATGACTGATAAACATTTTTTAAAATTCTCAGGCACACTAGAATCAAAGGACTGCAAAGTACAATAGGATACCACATCAAACTGTCAAGACAAAAAAATGCGAAATAAACATATATGCTATTGGTGGCATTTTAAATTGGTACCGTTTTTCTCAAAGGCAATTTAGTGGTAGAAATGAGTAGTCTTTGACCCAGAAATGTTATTTCTAGGAGAAAATAATGAAAAGTGTGTGCATTAGATCATGTGCAAAATAGATACGGTATTTTTTATCACAGAAATTTGGAAGCAAAGTAGATGTCCAAGAATGGGAGCTGCATCAACGTAATTTATTATAATACTACAGAAGAATAATGCACGTGGAAATGTTTCCAACATGTGTTTAAGTGAATAAGTTACGAAACAGGATTTATATTGCAATCCCAATTTTGTAAAAATACAGATGATTAGAAAAATACATAACCACACTTAGAGTGGTGACTTCTTAGTGGTAGGAATTTAAGAGTTACTTTTGTTTTCTTTTTTGAGGTTTTCCAGTTCCCTTATAATCAACATACATTACTTTTATCATCAGAAAAAAACGTATTTTTTAAGTAGAGATGTATGTATCTTGAAAAAAAGCAAGATCTTAAATGATTGTGTTTTTGACATGAAAGACGTCTTTCTTTTTTTGCCTGGGAGGTAAGCTGTGGTGGGAGGGATGGGAGACAGTATTATAACTTCTGTTAGGATGGCATTGTTGATACCTGAATTTCTAGTAGGAAAAATCTAGAAGGAGCTGGCAAAAGATAAAACAAGGGGTTTTCCTCTCAATCACCCATGCTGCCAATCAGTTTTATCACCTGCTCTCTTAGATTTGGCATATAACACTTAGTATAGAAGGCGTGACAATTTCCTTCCTGCTTCCTCTTTTTCTTCCCTCTCCTCTCTTCTGCCCTCCCTGCCCCGCCCCGTCCCGCCCTGCCCCTCCCTTCCACTCCCCTCCCCTCCCCTCTTTTTTCCAAGTCTCACTCTTGTCACCCAGGCTGGAGTGCAATGGTGTGATCTCTGCTCACTGCAACCTCCACCTCCTGGGTTCAAGCAGTTCTCCTGCCTCAGCCTCCCGAGTAGCTTGGATTACAGGCATGTGCCACCACGCTTGGCTAAGTTTTGTATTTTTAATAGAGATGGGGTTTCACTAGGTTGGCCAGACTGCTCTCAAACTCCTGATCTCAGGTGATCCACCCACCTCAGCCTCCCAAAGTGCTGGGATTACAGGCATGAGCCACCGCACACAGCCCTCATTCTTTATTTCTACTGCTCTCTCTATATGGTTAGATGTCAGCCCTGGGTGGCAGCAGCAAGGAACTCAGGAGCCACCACTGCTCAGGATTAACTAATTGGAGACCCCTTAACATATATGATTAGCATCGAATAACAGCTAATCTCTCAGGCAGTCAATATTGAGGTACCACTGCCTTGGGAGTTTTGGGTAGAAATAAAGCAAGTAAGAAATGTAGTTCCATCCTGCTTGGAACTTTCTTTTTAGGTAGGGACTTAGAAGTCCCTGGATGTTTACATACTTTTTCCTATTACACATCTTACTTTCCTTTGAAATCTTCTGGAATGCTTGACTGCAAGTATCTGAGAAACCATGTTCCACCTAACAAAAGTTGCTAGGTAGGGTGTGGCTTTCAGGCCTTCTCTTTGGGGACCAATAGAAAAATCAAAGGCTACCGCCCTTTTTCCCTCCACGCAATTGCCTTTGCTAGGCTATAGAAAGGGCACGTTTCATTTTATTAAAAATCTTTGAGTAATCTGACCATAATTGGGTCTGATTGGAATGGTTATCTGATTTGCTGGGTTAAATAATGGGCCTTAATTGAGTCTGGGTTATTTGTAGAGGCAGTGTGGCTTTTGCCTTCATTGCTCCCTCCTCTCTCTTCTGTTTCCCAATTAACCTTCATTTCTCTTTCCTTGCAGAGTAAAGAAGTCGGCCAGCAGCTCCAAGATGATTTGATGAAGGTCCTGAATGAGCTCTACTCGGTAAATCAGTTGGGTTGCTTGGCTCTTTAATAAGCAGAAGGAAGCAGCATTTGGCAGCTTGCAGCCATAGTACGTCAGCACAGAGCTGAACTGAGGTTGAGGACAAGTGCATGGTCCCCACTGGGGGCGACCCCACCCATCTTTTTTTTTCACACCCATCTTTTCAAAACCGAATGAGTCAAAAAATACTTCCTCAAAATAAGATTTTTCCTCAGCTGTGCAAGCTCACCCTGACTTTATTTGGGGCATAATTGCTAGAGACCAGCCAAAGTCTAGGTCACTGGCACAACGGACCCCATTAGCAGCAAACAAGGGACCCTGAATCTGACAGCAAGAAACATAGCCTGCATTGCACTATTAATATGTGCCTGTCAGAAAGACTTTATTGTTGTAGGTTTTACATCAGATCTTGGATTGATCTTTTGCTTTGAGACTAGAACAAATGCTCTAGAGGGCAGCACAGAGTCCTAAATGCCCCTAATAAGAGTGACCAGTTCCGGCAGAGAGAGCTTTGCATTGACTTCTTGGAGTTTTACACAGCCAAACCTCAGTGACGAGGCAGGCTGCAGGCTTGGGAAAGAGAACACAGTCTGTTCTGAGATGACTGGAGCTTCAGGCACGTGACGCCTGTGGCTGGTGCGTGTTAATTCATGCACAGAGAGTGGTGGTGGTGGTTCCCCAGCCATGTTTTTCTAATTATAATGAAAACAAACACACACTCACACACACACCAAGAAAATTCCTGTTGTTATACAGGGAACACTTACGTTGTACAGCTAATGCCTTTCAAAGGCCTCTTTTCCATCTTGGATGCGCCAGCCTTCTGTGTCATTTTCTAGGGTTTCTCCATCCTGTTTGGAGGTGATAATTGATTTCTGGTGTTTACGTGCTTATTTGCTGCATTTTTTTCTTTCCCCCTTTCCTTTTTTTT